TGAAACTGCTCCATACCTGGGGGAGAAAAAAAAAGATATTTCAGATTTACTAAGGGACTGAATGTATGAAAAAGAAAGGCTTACCATTTATCCTCATAGAACCTAAGTAACTGTACTGACATATATCCTGAAGATAAAAAGGAACACGATTCTGGACAAGGGGAAGGATTTGGAAGCGAGGCTAGTCTAAAAGTGACATTTGTTTATGAATGTGAGACCTTCCAAACTGGCTCATCAGTTGCCTAGCTTGATATCAAATATGAAATGAAAATTTTAAAAGTAGATTCAGAATAGCTATAGAAGATATGGTGTTGGAGATGGGTTGGGTGGTGACAATAGGACAAATGATGTAAGCGAACCTTAGCTGTAGGCTACTAGACAAGTAGCAAGTGGTCAAGGGCTCTGAAAAAAGTTCTCTCACAATCCCAAACAACTAAGTACAAAGAATAAAAATGGAAATGGATGGAAATGCAGATGGAAATAGATAGCCTAAAACAAAGTCAGAATTTTCAAGATTAGTTTCTTGTTAAATAATGATTTTTAGCATTGAAATGTGTCTTTCCAAGGGAGAGCACCTTATATAAAATCCTTGGAAAGATAAATATGGTTCTCTACTTCATTCATACACACACACACACACACACACACACACACACACAGTCTTAGACAGACAGTAGACTTTCTCATCATGCCCATTGGGCAACTCCATTTTTTTAAAAATAGGAACATGTGATGTCATGTAGTTTCCATATTCTAGTGACGAGAAAACAGATGGATTAAATGAATTGTTCAAGGTGGTGCTGTCAGTTGATAGCAGAAATGAGACTAGAGGTTACCTGTCCTGCGCCCATTGTTCTTTTAAAAACTATTAAATAAGGGTCAGCGGGAGGTGTGGTTATTAAGGCACTAGACTCCCACATGGCTGAACGTGGTTCGAGTCCCAGATCTGGTGGCTTTCTTTCTCGCTTTACTGCATGCTCTATCTCTCTTGTTCTCCCTCTCCATTTTGCTCTCTCTTTGGTGAATGCATGTGCTCTATAGCAAATTTTAAAAAGTAAATAAAATAATCAATTAAATCATTCTTCTAAGGGAAAAACTATTAAATATATAGTTTCTAAATATTTTTCTTTTTTTTTTTAATAATTTATTATGCAGGCCTCTTTCTGACCTTTGTATTTTGGCTCTTAAATCTTTCTATTTTTTCTCTCTCTTCACACTTGCTTTAATTCTGATAGGTTTTTTTTTTTTTGGAGAGGTTTTCGCTATAGGGTGCGTGAGCTCACCAGAGAGAGAGAGACAGAGAGACAGAAAGCGAGAAATCACCCCCCGGGGAGATGGTCATGCCACAATCCCTTCTCCTCCATTCTCCTCTCGGGATCTTGGGCACGCACGCACATGCGCCCGGCGTGAGTTTTAAGCCACCGGGTCCGGGATGCGAACCGCGGTCGACTACGTGGGAGTCCAGCGACATAGCCATTACGCTAACTGCTGGTTCCCCCGATAGGTTTTTAATAAGTTTTGATATTTGTCTGATAAAGCAAATTTTCCTAATAGTTTTGACTGTCTCCACATTTATTTATTATTAGTGTTTCAAACATACATATTATTTTCATTTTTCAGGTTTGCATTCATTTCAAATACCTTTAACCTTCACCTCACTGTATCTTGTTTCATAGTAATTTTGAAACCAAGGAACACAGAAAGTGTTGAGGGGATTTTGATTAGGTTGCACCGAATAATGATAGAGCTGAGAAAATTAACATCTTTCTTTCCATCTTTTGAGTTTTTCCATTCATGAACATGTTTTTTTCCCCATTTATTTGGGTCTTTTAGAACCTTCAATTAAGTTTACAGTTCTCCTCATACCCTTTGCCAATTTCATTTTAGGTTAATTACCAGGTACTGCAGAGGGTCTGTTAATCCTAAGAGTGGCCGCCTCTTTTGATGTTTTCTGGTTTTAGTTAGTGTATAGGAAGGTTATTAATTTTCACATGGGGAATTTATATCCAGTCATGCAGCAGAACTCTGTTCAAGTTCTAATAATCTGTGGATTCTCCAGTTAGTTGGCCACATCGATATTTGCCAAAATGCTAGTTTTGTCTCCTTTCAACTTCTATACTTACGTGGTGCTTTTACTACATTGATCAGAGCCTAAATAGTTATAACTAGCAGTGAAAGTGGCTATGTTTTGTCTTTAATGATCAGGCTTCTCAATTTCCAGTATTAAAGCAAATATATGCTACAGGTTTCTGGTGGATAATACTTATCAAGTAAAGAGGATGCTGCCTATTCTGTGTTTGCTAAGAGGATTTATTTTTGTGTGGGAGGTCATAAATTGGATATATATTATTTTACTCTAATATCTATTTTTTTGGAAAAAAAATCTTCCTTTCGCATGTTTCTTTTTCTTTTTTTTCCCCCTTAATGCTAGAGGATGTGTGTGCATGCACAAGATAGAGTGCATGCTCTCAGTGGGCCCTGGTCACAATCCTTGTAATCATTTATCCTCCAATCTGCCATCCTGTCAGGATCAGACATTCACATGCATGCAATGTGTAAGCCACTGGGGCCAGGACTTGAATCCTGGTCAGCCATATGGAATCCAGCCTCTTCTGTACAGTGCTTATATACTGTGCTACAGAGCTTGTCCATGATAAGTAATTCTTCTAATATTACACATTGGATTTTACTGGACAGTATTTATTTATCATTTTTGCATTCATATTCAAATAAGTGAGATTTGCCTATAATTTTTCTTTCTGGGGCTGGCCTGGTCTGTGTAAATCAAAATTTTGTTAAATCTCTTTGTGTGGTGTGGCTCAAATCTAGCCTTGGCCAAGACTTAGGCTGAAGAACTTGTTCTTTTATTCAGTTCTTAGTAATCACTGATGTATGTGGTCTCTTAACTATATGCCAGGTGCCATGTGCCACCTTCATCTTCTCAGTAACCCTGAGTATGGGTATTCTTGTGATCTTAACCCTGAAGTATGGGTATTTTTGTGATCTCTGCTTGAGGCTCAAGAAACAAGGCACTTTCAGGTGTAGTAAATAGTCTAAAATACTTATTTCCTTTAAATATCTGTTGTTACTTTTAGCATTTCAGTCTAGAAAGCATTAAACATAAGCAAAAGTATGACGGTATGATTTAAATTATAGCAGTCATCAGCTTATGGGCCTTCTTGTTTCATGTCTCTTTCATGTCTATTTCTACCCAATACTTAGGCATTTTATTCATAGGTATTTTAGTATAAAACTGTAACACTGGCCAGCAAATGGTGTGGTGGTTAAAGGTGCTGGATTCTCATGTAGCCAACTGCAGTTCGATTCCTGGACCTTGCAGCTTGCTTTCTCATTTTCCCTTTCTCTGTCTCTCTCTGGTCAAATTAAAAAAATAATAAGAAGTGGAATTAAATAAATAAATAATTTTTTAAAAGAAAAAAAACCCGGTAACACATAACCTTAAAAAATAAACATAACGTTACTTATACCTGAGCAAATGAACAATTAATCAAATATATGAAGGTAACTACAGGAAAATGGTAATTTTAGTCACTTCCTAGTTTGTGCCTTATTTTTTTTCTTAACCAATAAATTAACATACAACTTTGGAAAATACAGTGAATTTTTAGTATCTCTTCCCTGTCTCCATTTTACTACTGTTTGCTTACAATATGTGAATTCCTTATATATATATATATTTTTTTTTTTGAGAGATTTTCGCTATAGGGCGCGTGCGCTCACCAAATAGAGAGAGACATAAGAGACAGAAAGCGAGAAATCACCCCCCAGAGGGGATGGTCACGCCGCAATGCCTTCTCCTCCATTCTCCTCTTGGGATCTTGGGCACGCACGCACACACGCCCAGTGTGAGTTTTAAGCCACCGGGTCCAGGATGTGAACCGCAGTAGACTATGTGGGAGTCCAGCGACATAGCCATTATGCTAACTGCTGGTTCCCAATTCCTTATATATTTTGATTAATTTATCTGATTCTATTTCTGGGTTTTTGAGTTGAAAGCTTACTTTATAGCCTAAATTGAACATTAAAAAGAAATCATCATTTTTCCCCTTTGAGTGTGGCTTGGCTTCACTGTACCAGGTTTTGCAATGTAGTACCTTCATCATCATGGAGTCTTAACTATTTTGCAGTTTCTCTTTTGGTTGCCTCCTTAACCCACGAATCATTCATAAATAATTCTAGAGCTAGGGATTTCAGTTTCTAAGTATAAGGATTTGGGATCTTCATTGTTGGTTTCTAATATCAATACATTGTAATCAATGAATGTGGCCTTGCGTGATATCTGTTTTTTTTGGGAATGTATTGAAATGCTACTTATGGTTTATTTATCTATTGGGTTGTGGGAAAAGTCATGATGCATTTTTGTGTAGAAAAACAAAAAGTCTTTTCTGACAACCCAATCAATAAACCATTTGTGTTTGAAGTGACTAGGTTTTGCCATGCAGAATTTTCTCTATTACTACTGGACCAGGATTATTCATTGTGATATTCAAGTCTTCTCTCTGAACTTTTCTTTTCAAATGACCATCCATTTGAAGAACTCAACTCTTTAAAAACTTATCTATTATCTCTTCCTCTTTAAACTGTCTTTTATCTCCCCATGGATCATCTCTTAGACATGTTAGAATTTGTGTGTCAGACTTCCATATCCTGCTTTTATTTCAGCTCTGTCCATTCTACTACCCCATATCTTAATTTCACAAATTATGTATTTTTTCATTTTCAGGCTCTTTTTTTTTCTGTTTCATAATATGTTCTTATTTTATAAAATCTTCCTTTAGCTCTCTGGGCAAATTATTTTCATACTCTATTATGATGACTGTATGAACTCTGAGTCATTGTGCTTTTTGATTCGAATTCATAATGTCGTCTTTCCTCAGATTCTGCATTGTACTGAATTGTCCTTCTCATTTTAGCACAGTACTTAAAAAAAAATTACTTGCACTGATTT